TTGAGCCACCGCGCCCGGCCGTCATATTTCTTCTTTATTTATTTATTTTTGAGACAGAGTTTTGCTCTTGTTGCCCAGGCTGGAGTGCAATGGCACAATCTCAGCTCACTGCAACTTCCACACCCTGAGTTCAAGCAATTCTCCTGCCTCAGCCTCCCGAGTAGCTGGGATTGCAGGCACTTGCCACCACGCCCAGCTAATTTTTGTATTTTAGTAGAGACGGGGTTTCACCGTCTTAGTCAGGCTGGTCTTGAACTCCTGACCTCGTGATCCACCCACCTCGGCCTCCCAAAGTGCTGGGATTACAGGCGTGAGCCACCGCGCCTGGCCCTCGTCACAGTTCTTAGTGAGCTATAAGGTCAACATGGTAAAGCACTAGTAGGAATGTGCTGGAGTGCGCCAGGTTTGGAACAGCCTGGGCCAGGCCATGGGAGACCCTCTTTAAGAAAAAGCAACAGTATGCAGCAAATGAGGCCTTGGAAAGAGGCCTGCATAAGTAAAGAAGCCTGACGCATCATTAGCTTCCCAGTAAAGCCACCTCTAGGGCTGTTATCTTTGTTTTAAGTTAGCAAAGGGATGTTTGCAAATGGAAGTCTCCGAAGGTGCACCCAACTCTGCATCAACCCTGACAGGGAACACAAGCTCTTAGGAGCTTAACCGACCACTGCGACAGCCACCTTTCCGAGAAGGTTCTCATGGGTGGGCAGGAGCTCTTTGCAGGCTTAGGTGGCAGAGAGGTGATCAGGGGAGAAGAAAAGGGCCAGCAGCTAATGGGGTGGTGCAAAGTAAAAGAGTGGATAAGGGGCTGGGGGGGGTGGAGACAGAGAGAGTGGAGGAGAGCCCACCTGTCCCCAGAGAGGGAGGGTGAAACAGAGAGAGTGGAGAGGAGCCCCTGCCCTCAGGCTCCTACTGTGTGACTTTGACCATGGCCTCCAGCTCCACCCTCGAACATATTTTTCTGAGTCTGTGAGAGTCCATCAGAAGTACTTGGGCTGATCCCTAAAATAGAATTTGCCAATTAGTCTTCAGTGGAAAAGGCTTTCTTCAGGTCAGTAGAGACAAGCAAATCTAATTTGCAATTTCCTTGTTCCTTAGAGCCCAGGGGGAATGTGTGGACAGAAAGCATTAGGATGAGTGAGGGCTCCAGAGGGGAAGCTGGAGAACAGGATGCCTTGGCCCTGCAAGGGCAGGCTGAGCCCGGGGCTCACTCCCAGTCCTGGCCTGCTGGAGGCTGTGCCGAGTTACAGGAAATGGGAGTGCTGCAGCGGCTCAGCGGCCCCTGTCAGTGAGAATATGAAGCAGTGATGTTCAGAAAACATTCTTTGCAAAGCACTGCCTGGTATAGTTTCCAGGAGATGAATGTTTAATCAGCGAGGCTGCTCTGCCCCGACCTCTGCCCTGCCAAGACTGAGCCCATGTCCTGAGCGGAGCTGACAGCGTTGGAGAGCGCCCGCAGCCTCCACAGGCCACAGCTGTCTGCAGCCTGACAGCCTTGCTGCCCAGTAGCCCTCACCAGAAGGGACCTGCACCCTAAGCTGAAATTCCCCGAAAGAGCAGAGAAAGCTACTCTGCTGTCCACATGACAGCTTGGAGAGGCACCGCTGGGGCGCAAATGATTTTGGTGGTGATTGGAAAAATGAATACATTTAAGGATTATTAACGCTTCACAGTCAGCCCCTTCCAAGTACTTTCATTCTTTTTATTTATTTAGAGACAGGGTCTCGCTCTGTCGCCCAGACTGGAGTACAGTGGCACAATCTCGGCTCACTGGAACCTCCGCCTCCTGGACTCAAGTGATTCTCCTGTCTCAGCCTCCTGAGAAGCTGGGACTACATTCGTGTCTACTACTACCACCACGCCCGGCTAAATTTTGTATTTTTTGTAGTGATAGGGTTTTGCCATTTTGCCCAGGGTGGTCTCAAACTCCTGAGCTGAGGTGATCCTGCCTGCCTCAGCCTCCCAAAGTGCTAGGATTATAGGCATGAGCCGCCGCACCCAGCCCCCCTTCCAAGTAATTTCTAATGCCCTTTCCTCTCCCCCAAATAACCCCACTCCCCCCAACCCCTGCCTCACTTTGGCACCCTTCTCTCCCAAGCCTTCCCCAGCTTCTCAGTGTCGTGCAGTTCCACTGCCCGGGATGACGCCACAGAGGATCAAGGACCTTCCGTGAGCCTTCCTTACCCTCTTCACAGCTCCACTATGAGCTTTCCTCTTGCCTAGGACCAAAGTCTTTGAGCATCTGAAGCCTGCAGATTTCTTGAAGACTGCAGCCCCTCATCCTTCTCATCTAGGCTAGAGGGTGGCTCAGGGATGGCCTGCTTACTACTTGTCATTTTAGAAAGAAACTCATGGGGCTGGGAAGGAAGTGTGCACTGCCTGAAACAAGCACCTCAGGATCCGCAGCTTGGGTTGCGCTTCCTCCCTCCCCTCAAGGCTGTGTTGCGCACATTGGCTCTGCACCACCCTGTGGCTGCCGGGGTATGAGTATGAGCAATGGCAGTTCTGGGCGCATCTCTTATCGGGAAGAGGTGGAGCACCTAAATCACAAAGCCATTGCTGCTCCAGTTCTCAGTAACTCTAGCCCTCTGATAAAGTGGAGGAGATAAGAAAGCCAAATAACATTTATTAAGCATCTGCTGTGTCAACTGTGTAATAGTGGAAAGAGGTCTATCCCAGCTTCAAATCCTGGATCCATCCCTTACTTTAATCTGTAAGGTCTTGATAGAGCTGCCCAACCCATCTGAGCCCCACAGTCTTCATTTGTGAAGAAGGGAAGCATGCTTGTTCTAAGAACTCCTGCAGAAGTGGAGTGACGTACCCAGCCTATAGCTTGAGGGCAGAGTTCCAGTTTGCTTACCTAATATCCATGCCTGTTCCTCCTCCTTCCCATCAAAACACTTCTGAATCTCACTGAGAAGGTGCTGCACAGGCTTGAGTGGAAGATTTCCAAGTTCTGTTGAGGCTCTTCTAGCTGTTCTGAAACTTGCCCATAGTTCAGGAGAGGGTTTGCAGAGGTATCGGGGTGCCCATGATTTCACATAGGCTGGAAATGTGCTTACACTATTTTCTTTTCTTTTCTTTTTTGAGATGGAGTCTCGCTCTGTGGCCAGGCTGGACTGCAGTGATGTGATTTCGGCTCACTGAAACTTCTGACTCCCTGGTTCAAGTGATTCTCCTGCCTCAGCCTCCCGAGTAGCTGGGATTACAGGCGCGCACCACCACACCCAGCTAATTTTTGTATTTTTAGTAGAGACGGGGTTTCACCATGTTGGCCAGGATGGTCTCGATCTCCTCACCTCATGATCCACCCGCCTTGGCCTCCCAAAGTGCTGGGATTACAGGCGTGAGCCACTGCGCCCGGCCCCTGTGCTTACACTATTTTCTTTGCACAGTGAGCGGAGGGAAACAAAGGACACGAGGCAGATGTCATGTGGCTTAAGGTGGCATGGAAGAATAGGAAACATCTTCCCGAATGCGGGCGTTCTCAGACCACAGAGGCTTAGGGAATGGCTCTTGAGGCTATTGGAAAGTAGCATTGGGGAATTCTAGGCTTTTCCCAAACAGTCTGATCAGACCTTCAGGGGCTTCTGTCACCCGTGTACTTTTCTCTCCTTTTTTGGTGGCAAAGTAGACATTGCATATTTGCCACTTTAACCATTTGCGATATACAAGTTCAGTATTAAGTCCATTGGTGGTGTTCTGCCACCACCATCCATCTCCAGGGCTTCTTCCTCTTCCCCCACTGAACCTCCACACACCCTAACACCGGCTCCCTCTCCCTCCCACCCCCGGCCCTGGCAGCCACCATTCCACCTTCTCTCCAAGACCCTGACTCCTCCAGGGGCCTCATATCAGTGGAATCACACAGTTATTCATCTTTTTGTGGCTGGCTTGTTCACTTAGCGTGCTGTCTTCTGGGTCCACCCCTCTCAGGGATGTGTCCAAATACACTTTCTTCTTAAGGCTGCATCACTAACATTGTGTGTCTACACCGCACTGTGTCCCTGCACTCATCCATCTGTGGATACTTGAGTTGCTTTTTACATTGCTATGAACATGCGTGTACAAGCCCCTGTATTTTTAAAACAATGTGGTTTAAAAAATGGTTTTCAGCATACACCCATTGTTATAAGTGGCCTGTGACTCTGTCCTGTCCAAGATAGTTTTAAAAAATTATGTCCTTTAAATTGGGAACCAAGGCCTTTCACTGGCTTCATGAGCAGCAGTTGCATGTTATGCCCAGGCACCCGTGGTGACTTCGTCTGAGTGGAGGCAATTGCAGCGCCTGGCACTGGTGTCTCTCCCAATGCACCTGGGCGACTGTGCGCGCTCCCTGCCTGGCTGACTGAGGTGTGACTAATGGTTTCTCTCTTCTCGTACCCTGCCCTCCCCGCCTGTGCCCTGTCCCTGTCCCTCCTCTCCACCCCTGCCCCTCCTCTCTGCCTTCTTTTTGCTGGCGCCTCCCGCTCTCCAGTGCGACCAAGACCAGTGCATTCAGAGCACCAAATTCGTTTTGCAGGCCGCGGCCACGCCCCTGCTGCAGAGTGAGCCTAGCCTCACTAGCGACGAGCTGCACCTCCCCGGGAAGCCCGGCCTGGGCACACCCTGTGCCAGTCTCACTCTGGGCCCGCCCACGCCGCCCGCCTCCATGCCCAACCTAGCCGAGGCCGCGCTCGCAGACGTGATGCCCCGGAAAGACGAGCACATGGGCCACCAGTTCCTGACGCCTGATGAGGCGCCCTCGCCCCCCAGACTGCTGGCAGCGGGCAGCCCCCTGGCACACAGCCGCACCATGCACGTGCTGGGCCTGGCCAGCCAGGACTCCCTGCACGAGGACTCCGTGCGCGGCCTGGTGAAGCTCAGCTCCGTGTGACCCACGTGGCCCTGGGCCAGAGGGCACCAGAGGCTCCTCCACGAGCAGCAGGAGTGAGCAGAGGGGTGTGCCCCACGGCGACTTTCCCAGCCACTGCCACAGTGGAGATGACGGCCCCAGGTCTGGGATACAGAGACCACTTAGAATGGCACAGGGCAGCCGGCCCTGGATGCTGAGAGCCTGGTTTCATTTGAACTTCCTTCCCCAACCTGAGTGCTTTGACAACAATGAAAATAGAGAAATGGCTGCTTTCTTATGATGGGCCTGGGGACGGGGACCCTCCAGGGGTGGAATTGGAGTGCATCTGCCGTCCTTGTGATAGACACATGGAAGGCTTCTGACGCTTATGGCCTGACTGCAATTGCATTTACGTGTTATGCTACTAATATTTGAAACAGACATGCCATTCCATTTGTTATTAAAAACAAAAATCCTAAAGGGAAGAGCCGAGCAGGTGTGGATCTGCATGCCATGCTGCCGTCTGTGTTAAGTGGTGTTGCTGTTTCCAAGGAAGTGCTGCTTCCTCTCTTTTTTTAATTTTGTGAATTTTTTAGTGCTGTTTTGTTGGAAGACAGTGCAACGAACTGAGACTCATGGACAGTGTCATCACTCAGCTTATTGGGCTGAGACATCTGTGGAGAGGGGGCACCGGGGCTGCAGAGGGCAGCTGGGGTCCACCATGTCGGGGGTCATTTCACCTGCTTGGCCGCCCCATGAGTTCATGTGTTGAGGTATTGCGTGAGGCCCCAGCACGGTCTTCACCTCCACGTGTGATGAAACTTCCCGTGGACAGCCAATAAAATCACATCCTCTGTTATTTTGGATCTGCGTAGTTATCCTTAATAACATAAATGAAAACAAAATCATCCAGATGGAGAAAGCTTTTCTTGAAATATCCCTGGTGAGGAATGGTTCCTGAACAAGCACATCTTTGAACTGGGAGATATTTATAGAATGATTTCTTAGATAAAAGGTGAGCTTTCCATCATTATTTTTCTTTATCTCTTTTTGATGCCATCTTAGTGGAATTGGCTCTAGGTTTGCTGTTTGCCGAGCAGCAGTTAATCGGAAGTAGGTGGGGCAGGGGACACTCAGGGTGAAGGGGTCTGTTGGACGTCTTCTGGGCTTCCTTCTGTGTTAACGTGTCTCTGAATCCCAGAAGCGCAACTTGAGGTCCTTGTAAATGAGGAGGAGAAATCGGCTTACAGTTTGGGCTGAGCTCATGTAGGTTGTCATCCTTCCCTAGACACTAATCAGAATGAAATTAAGAAAATGACCACTTTGTTCACTTTCATTGATCACCTAGAAGGGAAGGAGCTGGCTCTGGACTTAGGGAGTGTGTCACTATGGAGGCGGCCGCAGGGGACACGGCACCTCCTCTCCCGACTTCTTTCCAGATGATAAATCTAACTGCTAAGGCTACTCAAGTTCAAAGCCATGCCCTTGCTCCTTAGAACCATATGAAAGACAACGCGCATTGACCATTGATACAAGAAACCCCAAATGGTTTGCATTTATGGAAAAAGGCTATTTCTCCTGAGAAAGAGTTGCCATTTTATATAAAAGAAAAGGAAAGAAGATAGGAAAAAGAAAAGCACACGTTTTATTTGGAATGAAGGTAATTCACGCCAAAAGGCCTGCAGAGTTCTTGCTGTGTGAGATCTTCGAGCCATCTTTATTTTTCACACTGCATGCACGCATAGAAAATGGAATAGGTCCATTCTATGTAGTCATCTTCAATTTTCTGGACCACCTAACTACTTGTACCTGCCTGCAATTTGCAACTAATGGGGCAGTGCCCTCCTTACAACTCACAGGTATCCTCCTTGCCCACGCTGCCTGTGAGCCCAAAGTGGCAGCCCCACAAAGGAGCTTCCACAACTTCCCAAACCATCTCTGCTCCTTGCCCCCTTCCACCTGCTCCCCAGAGGCCCCAGGAAAGAGTTGGCCCTGATGAGAAGGGTGCTCCCTGGGTGACCACAAATCCGGCTCAGCTCTCATTCTGGTCCCACGTGTGGCCCAGTCCATTCCCACCTCCCTCCCCTGGAAGGCAAGGCCATGACCTTCAGAGGCCCCGCTTCTAACACTTCCTTTCAGTGGTTGCTGCTGTGCTGTGACCAGCCCTTCTTCTCACCTCATTATGAAAAAATCCCAGAAGCCAGGATCACGACTCACTTGTCTTCACATAATGAATGTTTACTTAATATTTATTATCAATTTCCCCACCTCCAACCCTGTCCCTGGCACACACTTGGCTTCATTTATCCAGTAGGGGATTGGGAATTTTAGTGAAATGAATCCAGGCTTTTCAGGGTCAAGAGGGAGATTAACTTGAATGGGCCAATTTGCTAGATAATTAATGGCTTAAAAACCAAAACCAGAGAGAAGCCCAAGCTCTGTCCTCTGTGGCTTGAAAAAGTAATCCAGCATCAGAGGAATAAGCGATGATACCGCCAGGGGTGCCCACTTCTGGGCAGGAGGGATGGTCGGAGGGGTGGCTCACCCGGTGAGGTGATGACTCTGCATTTCCCACAAACATATGTGACATGTACATAAATATATATACTTATGTTTATAAATGTTCAATGGTTCCAGCTAGCTGTGGCTGAGAAGACCTTGGTGTTTCTAAACTCTTTCAGTGTGTTAGCGATTAATTACTTGCTAGCTATAAAAAGTAAAATAAATATTTTACCATGCTATTAAAGCGTGGAGACCATTATCAAACACACACAAACACGCACTCATTCTGCTGTTTGAAAATCCATCTGCGTTCATTCTACCAGGAGTGCCCGGGGGACCACAGGCTTCCCAGCACGTGAAGGCTGAACCAAGCCTGAGTGCCCTGGTCCCCGGCAAGCAGGACACACTGCTGGAAGGTGGCAGACAGCCTATATCCAAGAGGGCATGGCAGCCTGTCACTCTGTTCTGCAGACATTGGCCCAGCAGTTGCATTGTGCCCAGTTGAAAGATGCTCATTCCAGCTTTCGAATGTGATGATTTCAGCCTGTGAGGACGATGCCATATCCCCACACTAAGCCAGCAAAATGCCAAATTGCTGTCTGGCCCAGAATGGCACAAGGGAGGAGTCTTTTTCAGAGCTCTACCCCACCCTCAAGCTTACTGCAACCTTCATCTGTTGTGTCCAGGATTGCTGGCTGGGGTTCCAAGTGAGGAGCAAACCCATTTTATGAGCCATGTTCCTGTGGGGACCTGATGGGCTGGGCCCTCTGTAGCTTTGAAAGCTCCTAAGCTCTGTACACCCTGGGCCTGGGTCTTCGTGCCTGACTCAACAGCAAGAAAAATGAACTTGCCACAACTGGCAGTAGGTGTCCTTGGCACAGGGGCTTGTGATGGTATTGCCCAGGAAATTCTGGAACCAGAACTGGGCACAGCCTGATGGGCTACTCCCCGAGGGTCTCAGGTGTCTGCCCACCCTCCTACCCCGCAGCAAACGCTTCTCTATCACCTGACTTCTCCCTTTAGACCTCAGCCCACAACCATCCTCCTCATGCCGGAACCAACTGCTGCTCAGCCTCGGCTCAGGGTTTTGAGTTCACTGGAAGGGATCATGGGTTTGCATTAATATTATGAGGAATCTTCCCAGAGGGAACTGCCCTCCATTCATCCACAAGAATACACTGTTTAGTCCATTTAGTTCTTGACCAGGTAAGAAGAGAATAAAGGAGAACAACTATTAGATACTCTTCTAATGAATGCCTTACTACTGTTTTGAAGCTGAGCCGAAATCAAATTGATGTTTACATTTTCTATCACGTACATAGGAGCTGTGGAGTCTAGCATTTTCTTGTCCAAAAGAGAGAGACTTTCAAAAGAATTCATATTCCTCCTGGTCCTTCCACCCATTCTGCAGGTCTGTGTGTGGCACTCTATGCCATTTTCCAAGGTACCTCATTTTAAAAAAACCTGCCTCTCATTTGTTCCCTTAAAACATCTCTCTCTCTCTCTCTCTCAAAACTAAGTTATTGAAATATTAAGCGATCTGAAGCGTCTTTTTTTCCAAATAAATGTCAAAAATGGTAATAGTTTGTAAATCATTAAATCCTCTGTCCTTCTGCCCGTTGTCCATGGTCCTGATAATAGAGCCAAGATGGATTTTCACATGTAAGTGGCTAGTCCATTAATCCAGCCATTAAAAATAGTTAGGAGATTGAAGATTAGATGGTTTCTGGAGCAACAGAATTTGCAGCTGCCGCAAAACTAGATAAATGGCCACAACTGGAGTTATTTTTTGATCTCATAAACCCCAGGAATTACATACAGAATGGATTGAAAAGCAGACGAGCGTCATGTGCTGTTGCAGAGACTTTTCTACCCAGCAAGTGTTGAATTTTTAAAAGAAACTTGATATTGGTGTTGAAGATATAAAGGAACAACTCTGTTACTTGCCCTCGATGTTTTCAGATGCCTAGTGAAACTGAGAGGACACATGGCATATCCAAGGAGACGTGTTTTCTGTGTTCTATATGAATAGAGATGATTTTAGCCTGCAATTAAAAAACACACACACACACAGGTGAAGCCTTGCTAACCTTTTCCCCAGAGCATTATGAGTTGATATTTCACAGTCAAATGTTTGCCATGAAGAAAAAAAATGTATTTTAAACTCTTGGTGAATTCAAAGCCCTAAATCCAAACAATGGTGAACACATGAACATAACATTTCATGTTTTCAGAGATATGTATACTTATTTAAGTGCCTTTCATGTTTTAATCAATGTTTGCAGAATTTATCTTAAACCTGAACCCAATTGAAAAAGCATTTTCCTCCTTCAATAAATACTAATGGCATAAAATGTAAATTTTAGTCTTTATAACGTAGATATCATCTTGGTCAACAACATGTAGGGAAGGGTGAAATCCACTTGCCCTCAATGAATATGCACGGTGTGGACACCCATCTGTATAAATAGAGTGTGAGTTTTCTCACCACAGACATCCAGATTGGTTTCCTCAGCTATGGTTCTCAACTGTTTCATTTCTACTTAGAGCAATGCAGAAATTTAAAGCCCCTAATCCAGCATGTTCTATATGCCACCTTTAAACATACACGCACACACCAGCCTCACCAGATAGGAATTGTGTTTGGCTACTCATAACAAAATCCCCCAAATAATAGCAGCTTAGGAAAAGAAATATCTTTTCCGTTATGCAAAGCAAGTGCAGAGGTAAGGCAATCTAGGGGCATTGTGGTGGCTCTACAGTGTTGTCAATGTCCTGACTTCCTTCTCTCTGTTCTGCCATTCCTAGCATTGGCTTTCATCCTCAAGGTCACTTCATGGTCACAATATAGCTGCTACAGCACCAACTATCAAAGCCATATCCTTACGTTTTGTATTAAGTACATATGAGCTGCACATATGAGTCTAGCATGTTCTTGTCCAAAAGAGAGAGACTTTCAAATGAATTTCTATTCCTCCTGGTCCCCACCACCTATTCTAGAGGTCTGTGTGCCATTGTATGCTGAAAGAAGGAGAAATGGGGAGGAGCAAAATGGGTACAGACACTTAGGACTGCTCCCTTTAAAGAGCATTCTCAGAAACCCCAACCTATGATTTTTCCACGATCAAAGTTGAGTCACATAACCACTGAGGAGGGTAGGAAGCATGGCGTTTTAGCTGGGCACATTCCTGCTCCAAATAATACTGGAGTTCTGTTGGTAAGGAAGAAGGGGGAAATGAGCATTCACTAGATAATCACAATGGAAAACTACATCTCCTCCCTCAGTGCAAAAGAGCGACCCTCCAGCTAGAGTTCTGTCATCCTTCTGTCCACCAAAAAGCTCTGCCTCATCCATCTACTGTTCTCTCCTCCATCCATCTACTGTTCTCTCCCTTTAGAGAGCATTCCTGCCTGCTGAAGTAGGCTTGACCCCATCTCCTGCATGACCCAGGACCCAGCGCCATCTCTCCTCCAGGACCCAGTTCTTTTATTATCTTTTGAATCTTCCATTTCTTCCTACCAGTTGTTTCTGTAGGCCACCATACCCTACTGCTACTTTGAAAACAATCAACAAAAAAACTCGCCCTCCTTGTCTCTCTGTTCTTCTCTAAGCACTCATTCCTCTCACTGCCAAATGTTCCAAGAGTGGCCTGTCCTCCTGTCTTCCATTTCCTTACTTCCCACTCTCTGGCAGCTTCCCTTCACAGCATGCTTCTGAAATGTGCTCTCCATGATCTCCAGTGGCAAATTCTTTGACCTGGCTGCATTCTCTTTAACGTCCCTGAAGCCTCTGAGCTGGCTGAGCACTCGGTGCCCCTGGATCCATGTGGCTGGCGGTATTGCAGGAGGCAGACAAGCATGCAGCTGGATGTGTCTTCTGCTTCTGTGCAATGCTGTCTCCTTTTGGCCTCAGTGATGCTGCTGTCTTTATTCCAGCTGGCCTCTGCTTGCAACCTGCCTCCCTCTCACATCCCACAAATGAGGACATATGACAAGGTTCGTTTCCCTGCCCTTTGACCTTTGCTCTCTCCCTCCACTCCCCTGCAGAGACTTCACCACTCCACTGCCTTCTACTCCTGCCCCTTCTGCAGACTCAACTCTCCAGCACCCATTGCCCTCCCAAGCACTAGCTCCACAGCTGAACCATCTGCTTCCTAGGCAGAAGGAGGTTTAGCCAGGAATCTAGCTCCAGTGTGCCTCAGCTAGCACTGTAACCTCAGGCAGGTCACAGAGCCCGTGGGCCTTACTTTCCTTGCCCCCAAATGTGACCGCTTCTGGGCTCAGCATGTTATGATTGGCTCCGTGTTCCCACTTACATATCCCATCACTGCCCCAACCCCAAAGGCTTGAGACTGGACTCAACATCTTTCTCCCCAAACCAGCCTTTATTGTATTTGAAGCTTCTCCAGGAGAGCCCCAGGCTTACAACTCTGGAGAGGCCTTTGACTTCCCTGCTCTGCAGATCCGATCTTCCTCTACAGGATCCACCAAATCTGTCATTCTTCTTCACTTTACTGCCACCTTCACCATCTAACCCAAAATGTTATGATGGCTGCGAAGAGCTCTCCTCCTGCCCAGTTTCCCTGTTCCTCCCCATCCCATACAACCCAGGCACCTGTCTTCCCAGCCACTGCCAGGCCCGTGTCAGATCCCAGGTGTTAGACCATCCACAGTTCCTTCTTCCCCATTTGCCCCTCAGACCAGCATCTAGAGCCTCCATAATCCAGCCCCAAATGATTTCTGTTCTTCTTTTCCCTTCTCCCCATTTCCCTCTCTGGCAATTCAGCCTCCTCCGTCTCCGTCTCCGGCAGAACCCGCCAGGTGCTTCCCACCCTCCACATCTCCCTCTGCCCCTCCCTGCCTCTCTCTGCTTGTCAAAGTCCTTCCTACCTTCCCGTGACCAACACATTTCATAGGAGCTCAGGGGCCCCTCTCCTCTGAATTCCTATAACACTTGCTCCATCACATATTTCTTTAAAATTGGGATATAATTCACATACCATGAGGTAGGTCCTTTAAAAATGTACAATTCTATGTTTTTAGTATAATCACAAGGTTGTGCAACCATCACCAGTAACCCAGAACATTTCCAGCACACATTTAATACTTTTTCTAGACCACTTACTTTAATTTCTGTCTTCATGTGAATGTC